GGGAAGGGTGGAAGCCAGGACAGCAAAGGATGGTGAGGGGGGTGGGGTGGCCATCAGGGGGCAGAGGGGGGTGAGGGGAGGGGTGGGAGACATGGCAGCAGATAAGGGAAAGGGGAGAAGTGGATACCAGGACATAGCAGGAGTGTGAAGTGATGGGTGGGCTCCAGGGTGAAGAGGATGTTTGTGGGAGGGGGCAGGTGCCAGGAGAGCAGGGGGAGAAGGAAGGGGTGAGTTCCAGCGGGGCAGAGGCATGTGTCAGGGAGGCAAAGTGGGGGCAGGGGCCCAGGAGAGCAGAAATCGGGGTAAGGGTAAGGGTAAGGGAGGGACAGGAGCCAGAGAGGGGTGAGGGAGGGGTAGGCCCCAGGGAATCTTTCTTGCTTTGGTGTCACATGTGGTTGGTGCTGTCCCCCACACACTGGCGGTGCAACCCTGCCCCAGGGGGAGCTGCTGGGACTCTCCATGCTGGCGGGCCCCATCTTCCAGCCAGGCAAACACCACAGCCAGCCCCTCCCCTCGCCCGGCCCAGCCCCACCCCCATAGGGGCAGTTGTCTGGATTGCGCTCACTGGGGGGGCAGTACAGTGGAAGATTCTGGGGGGTATAAATGCGCACTAATGGGCTGTTTCTAATGAGGCCAGGGCAGTGGGGAGAGAAGGGGGCATTTCCCCACTTCCTGCCCCCTCCATCTGGGAGAAGCTGCACCGTGGACCAGTCCCAGTTCACACCCGCACAGCGCGTCTGTACTAGGGGTTTGCACCAGTGCAGCTACATCGGTGCAAGGAAACCCTGGCAGACATGGCCTGAGACACTGGTGTGCCAGGGGCCGTAACCCCTCCCCTCACTGGGGTTATGGATCAATAATTACAGGGTCACTGGAGCAGGGGAGCTGGACTCTGGACTCCCACGTGGGGGCCGACCCACTGGGCTGCAGAGTCATTCTCACTCCCACGCTCTGGCACAGTCCCCATGGCAGTGTTTAGACACGGGGGCCATCATCAGACATCCGGAGCCCAGGGGTTTGAGCCCTCATGACATCACCTGGGGGGATTGAACCTGGGATTCCCAGGTGAGGGCCCAGCCACTGGGCTAAAGGCTAGAAGGGAAGAAGCAGCACATTTTTCTGTTCATTGAAACTTGACAGCAAATGCGAATAGTTTCTGTTGACTCGAAATATAATTTTGCAGCAAATAAACTATTTGTCCAAAACATTTCACCCAGCTCCACTGCAAACCTGCCTGAGCAACTTAGGAGCCCAAATCCCAGTGACCTGCAGTGAGTGACTGTCAACACCCACAGAAATGCACAGGTATGGATGGGCAGGTTCAGGACATCAGCTATGAAACACTCCAGAGCTGCTGTTAAATTTGCTCTTGGCAGACAAATGCCCCCTGAGGCCCTGATCTCACCCCCCAAATCAGGCTGAAAATGGAGACTCGGCTCCAGCCTGAACTATCTGCCCAGAGCGATTGTCCCATGGTGGATAATGGTCACAGAGACCATCTCAGAGCCCCAGGGGCTCAAGTGTCTCCATTTAACACCTGCGCCATCCACCCCCCTCGCTCTCATTAACCACGGGTCAGACACGCTGGGAACTTTCACACCCAGACTCTGGAGACACTTTGGGTCCTTCTACACAGCCTGCAGAAGCGAGTCTTAGAATGGGGTGGACAGATTCAGGCTTGCGGGGCTCCCTCTTTGGAATTAAAAATAGCCGCGTAGACATTCAGGTTTTGGCTGGAGCTCAGGCTCTGAAGCCCAGGGTGGAGCCAGGTCTGCCCCTCACAGCGCACGCAGGGACATTGTCTGTGTCCACATCCCCTTCACCCCCTTCCTGGGACGGGGAACAGCAGCCCCAGGGCTTCTCCCTTCACCCCCAGGGCAGGGGAGTGAGAGCCTCGGCCTCCTGGTCAGTGGGGCCTCCCAGCACAGGTTCCTGGGTGAGCGTGAAAGTGTCTCCACCCAGAAAGCTCTGTGCACCCGGCAAATACACAGATGTGCCCGTGGATCAGGATCCAGGATGGTCCTCTCCCCAGGAGTGATGGAAGCTCCCTAAAAGTAGAGGGGTCACCCAGTCGTGCCAGCCCTTCTCCCCGAGCTCCTGCCCCTGCACCGCCCCTTCTCCCCGAACCCCCATCCTCACATCGCCCCTTCTCCCCAAGCCCCGGCCTTCACACTGCCTCTTCCCCCCCAAGACCCTGACCCCCGGTCACTCCTCTCTGCCCCCTCCCTGCCCCATTGCTCGCCCTTACAGCCGGTAAAAGGTGGGAGGCCTAGCCCTCCTATTAGTAAAAGTGATGGGGCCATGCCCCCCTGGCCTCCCTCTTCCAGTGTCCTTTATTCAGCCCCGCAACCCTTTGGGGCAGTGTCAGTGAGTTCAGTGCTGGGAGTACGGGTGGGGTTTTACCCCCCTCCTGCTGGTGCTCTGTGTATCGAGGGTACGAGGACATCACAGTGGCCATGGGAGCCCCG